CTTTTTTGCTCTGATCAGCAGTTTAACCTTATTCCGTCTTGCGGTTTTGGTTCTGCTTGTGTTTTCAGAAGTAATGCATCACTGAAACAGGTTTTTTATTTTTTCTGCTTTGCTGATGAGTCACTTGGGTTCATATTCAGAGAAGATACACTCCCTCTTTGATGTTTGTTATTCAATGTCACAATAGATGTAATTCGGAGAAAAGGCGAGGGATGTGGTTGGATAACAGTGTCATTTGTGGATGGTAGAGATTTTTTAAAGGAGGGCCATTAGATCCATAGATAGCTCTGTGATACTTTTAGAGAATATCAGTCACGTTGTATTGCATTCTATTCATTTATGCCAAAGCCTGGGGTTTAAACAGTGGTTTTCTGGTTTTATATCAATCAATCAATCAATCAATGTTTATTTATATGGCACTTTACAACAACCAGAGCTGACCAGTGCTTTACAGTAATAAAAACAGATCAAACTCTCGAAATATCCAAAGACAAATACATTGGTGACAGAACCCAGTTTAAAGGTATTTTACATGCAAAACGCCATTCTGAACAAATGCGTTTTAACTATAGCTTTGAATATGTACTACATACTGTACATTTTGTTTTTTTGTTTTCTTTTCCCTCATGTACAGTATCACCTTTTGAAATAAATTCTCATGTCCCTGACAGTAAAAAATCGTTTGACGAATCAGTCCGAAAAGGTAAAAGATTTTAGAAAATGATGCTCCTAAGACTTTTCCTTTTTTCTTTAACACATCGGGGGTTAAAAATGTCAAGGTTCACGGTTGGATTGGAGTGTGAGTTAAATTGCTCTGACACGCAGCCGACCTCTGACTGGTCGTAGTGGAGCGTTTGACAGGCAGGGCTCGGCCTGTGAAGTTGTCACTTAGCCTCGAGCATGCGGTAAGATAATCACATTCCGTCCACTCCAGAAAGCGAGGTAAGGTAATCAAAGCGTTCCGAGACCGGAGTGCCTCATCCTCACTTTCCAGCTAACGCGCACTCCGATGAACGGAGCACGAACTGGAGACTAAGCAAGGTTAGAATCGGACGGTGAAACCCGAAACTGACTCTGAGATGAGGAAGGGGGGAAAATGTTTATGTTTTGCCACTGCCAGTTTCTCTCTCTTCCGTCCTCACTGGGTCTTTATTTTTCTCTCTCCCCGTCTACTTTTGCTTATGCGAGTATGTGTGTGTGTGTGTGTGTGTGTGTTGGGTTAGGCTTGGCAGACGCTCAGTGCTTTGGGAACGCCACAAAGTAAACTGTTAGAGTAACAGGAACGAAGCCTCTCTCTGCTCCCCGCCCACCAGAAACGCAGCTCATTGCATCCACCGCAGCAGCTGATTCAGACTGTGGAGCACACGGAAATTCAGTAGAAGTCAGACAAGGTTCAGTTCTCTTTGAAGTCTGCCTGAATATGAAAGAATGTGTGGAAAAAAAAAAAACCTTGTCATCAATCTAGTCATTTAACACACTAACAGCGTAGTTCTTTTGTAAAGCTGTCAATATAACTGACATATTTAAATAGTTTTTGGTTACTCGGTTGTTTTTAACTTAAGAGCTTAGAAAATAGACTGTGATTTACTTTTAAGTGCAGCACAACTGTCCCTGCAAAAAGAGTTTCATAGTCACCGAGTCATGCTATAACACTGTCGGATGAGAGGTGATTTATTCCTGCAGTGAACCGATAGGACATTTTATTTTTGAGTAAAGGAGGGAAGTCTGATTGAAATTATTTATCCCCCAAAGAAATCATTCTGCCTGGCTCACTGAGAGAGGAGTTTCTTGTCTGAATACAATGTAACCTTCATATACTGCCACTCTGAAGTCTGAATATGTCATTTGCATCTTTCTTTTGGTTGAATACTTGGATTCCTTTTGGTACAGGGTCTTTCTCCAGAGAGATTTTCTCTGTAATCAAGAGCAAATTCACATCAAGGCACAAATGCTAAAAGATATTTTGTATATAAAGCTTTAGGAATGTGAGAGTTTTTTATTGCTGAAATGAAAGAAAGCTGAAGTTTTGTTGCTTTTTTAATTTAGCAGCATCTTCGTAGGCTTCAAAAATGCTATTTTGATTTTGTCAAGCAACAGTAACAATAATTTGCAATCCTATAATATGAAATTAAAAGTAGTTATGTGACTGTGTTACGCAATAAGTGAAGCGTATTGAACTTTCAAAAAAGTTAAATATATGAATGAGAGAATTAACTGTATTTATACCATAAAAAACAAACAGCATTTACTATCAAACTACACCATTGCAGTTTTATTTATGTTTTCCTGGATAGTGCACTGTAACCTTTGTGCTTTTGGGTTAGTGACACATATTTTAAAGATATGAATACACATATTTAAAACAAGAACAGTTTGATTGCAGAAGGATCTCATGTTTGATTCCTCCCCCAGAGTGGAGCTCTTTCATCCACTGACTGTGACATATTTTCACAGATTTCTCACATGATGTGAAGCTTCTTGTACAATCTCTCAGCTTCCCTCCATCTGTTGTTGCCAAGCAACAGTATAGTTTTGCATCTGTGTTCTGTTTTCTGACATAATCTTATTATAAACACAGAATATTTTGACAAAGTTTGACTTCATATTGTGTCCCAGAGATGATTGATGCTCAAATGAAAAAGTACAATTCAAATTATGATAACTTTTATTTGACAGATTATAATGAAGATTTATAAATACGGTCGAATTTGATAGAGGGAAGCGTTCCTGAAAACTGAAATGAAAGTCTATTATTTTCCATCAGTGTAGGGAAGAAACGTTGGTTGTAGCCTTTTTTAAATTCATTTCTCCAACTCTTTTCCTTACATTGACCAAGAAAAATTCACTGCTGCTCGACCTCCACACATCTATACATTCTTGTCTGGTATTTCAATAAAAAAACAAACAGCTTTGAATCTGAAAATGCTTTTTTTGCAACCTTACTAGGTTTTCTGTTCAAATCACTAAGATTCGAATCACCAATTATCCTTATAGGGATTATACCATAGATATGATAAGGCACAATATATATATAAATATAGGCCAGTTGAGGTCAGTTTAAGGTTAGGGTTTAGGGTAAGATGTAACAATAAGTAGAAGAGTATGCACTATTTTAATATGATAGCTGTACTAGTTAGCTAATGTACAGTTTTGTGTTTCTAGGTTAGAAGTATGTTTTGAATAGCTTTTTGTACCCATCTGAGTTTCCTAAATGGGTTGCTGGCTGGGTGATGCAATGGCGGAGCTGCGTAGAATAAATTGTCTGCGCTGTCTAAATACTCTGATACACAGATATCGTATTACACTCCCAACACAAGTTCAGCCAGACTGAAGGGTTGCAGAAGCAGTGGAATTTCTTGCATGTGACCTGCGCTTACAGTCAGGTCGGAGTTGTGCATTTGAATGTTTCTGAGAATGAAGCACATTCCGTGTGTTCCACTTGAAGCAAACATTTCTTGGAGGACTGTAAATACTTCAGGGTGACTGAGTTTAAATTCAAAACACTGTGCACCCTGTTTGCATGTGCTAGCTCTATTTTGATATCCGTATCCATTGAAGGTCCTTCAAGGAACCTGAATATTTAGCCATTTTATAGAAAGGAATAGTTGTTTGTTGAACAAAAAGTGCAACTTTGAGCTAAAAAATATTTTAAAAGATGTTTTTTTATATCATTGTTAATTCAGCATAGAAAGATTATGACTCTCACATTTGAATTTGTTAACACGGGCTCTAAATTATGTTGATTTCTTCAAATAAATCAGTCTGGCAATAAAGAAAGATATTGATAAAAGGGCAAATATATAACGTAAGCAGGTGTTTGATTATTGCTGCCGGCAGAAATAACCCTCTGTATGTGTGTTTTTTTTTTTTTTGTGGCAACTATCTTGTGCAGGATTATTCTTTGACAAAAATAGATAAAAAAAGACGAAGCTCCAGGGGTTTTAGAGCAGTCTGCAGCACAGAGCCAACATACTTTATCAGTTTGTTCAGTTTCTTTGAGTCACTGGCTCTGATGCTGCTGCCCAAAGAGCTGCAGAGTAGTTTGCACTCTCAGAGCACAGCAAAGCTCCACCTCTCTCTGAGTCACAGGGATTAACCAGGAAGTGCTGCTTTAATTCTCGTTCACTGTGGAGAGAGACGTGTTGTGAGAAAGACTGGGCCACAAACTTGTACTTGAAAGAGGAAAAACAACACCTTTCAACAATGGCTACATCTGGAAGACTCGGAATACAGTCTCTCTTTAATTTTTCAGTTTGCCTTTTTTTTGTTTTGTTTTCAAAAGCCTAAATTGAAACTAACTAACAGGAAATATTCCAGAAGAGTGACTGAAGCAACATAGTACTGTTTGTTCTTTCTATTTGCTGCTTTCACCTTGGGTCATGGCTTTGTCCTCTTATTTTTCTGAGAGTGACATTTCTGAAGATGTCCTGTCTGCTAGACATCTTCAACCATCCTGTTCTCCTGTCATCCAGCCTCAGCTTTTGTAAATTCCTGTCTGCAAAGCTGGTGGGACGAGAAACGAATCTAGGAGTGCTTGGTTTGGAAGAAAAGATCCTCCAGGGGTGAACCACCTTCCAACTTGTTATTGAAAAAAAACCTGTGTGAGGTCTTTCACACTGACGCCGCACAGTTTCCGAACTCTGTGCAGTCTGCACCTTGAGAAACTGAAATTGTTCTGTCTCAGCCACCAGCAGACTGTGTGTGTTGTGTGCCGGGATTCAGAAAAACACACAAACCACACTTTCAGACCTGTTAATGAGTCTGCAAAAGGTCACAGGAGAATCCTCTGCGAACTTCTTGGGCCATTGCGAGAGAAACTGAAGCTCCCGCATCAAACCGAAGCTAATTCTGAGCTTTCGGAAAAACACATTAAGGAACAAGCTCGGCATAAACAGGTAAACAGATTAAGGATCAGTTTAAGAGGCTTCACAGGTTTCTTGAAGAGGATGAGCAGGCCAGGATCCCTTCTCTGAGGGAGGAAGAGAAGCTGTAAGAGTCAGATGACGATAACGAGGATGGCTGAACTGAACAGAGAGATAGCAGCTCTTTTGGGGGCAAGCAAAGGCACTGGGGAGGCGCTGCAAACTGCAGACCTCTTATTCCTACACAACTACAAGGCGACATTGGCAACAGTCCAAAGGCAGCGCTCCCTCAATGATGAATCTCGATCGTCGTTAGGATCTCTATTGGATGTTGCCAAACACTTCGGCAACCTGTCCTTCAATATTTGGAATAAAATGCGGTGAATGATCTCCTACAACCCTTGCGATCCTGGACCCAAACACTGCCAATCCAGAATTGATTTTGTCTGATGATCTTTGCAGTGAGAAGGTTATGGGTTCGAATCCCGGGGGAGCCAGGACCTTTCTTAGTGGAGTTTGCATGTTCTCCCTGTGTCTACGTGGGTTCTCGCAGGGTTCTCTGGCTTCCTCCCACCATCCAAAAACCTGCATGTTAGGTTGATTGGACTTTCCAGATTGCCCTTAGTGTGAGTGTGCGTGGTTGTTGTTCCCGTGTGGCCTTAAGATGGACTGGTGGACTGTCCAGGGTGTACCCTGCCTCTCGCCCATTGATCACTGGGATAGGCTCCAGTTCTCCCCGCGACCCAATTAGGGAATAAGCGGTAAAGATAATGTATGGATGGATGGATGGATAGTTGGATGGATGGATGAATGGATGGATGGATCTTTGCAGTGTTAGATGGGGGCAGACGCAGCTGTGTCCTGAAACCCCCGAGAGGAATCGACTCCATCTTGGGCTCTGAGGGCCTCCCCTCGGGGACGCACAGCTGGATGGCTGAGGTTGGAGACCATGAATACTGGGAACTAGGGGTGCTTTCAGGGTCTGTTGAGAGAAAGGACAATGTTGCATTTGGACTGTGGAGAATAGGATTAAATATCGAGCGTGCGCCCAGTCGGATCCAGACGTTGATATCCACGTGAAGACAATTTTCCAGAGGATACGAGTGGATTTGAATTGGTAGAAAGGGATGTTGGCATTCTATTGCGCTGATGCTGGCACACACATACATACCTTCACACACAATTTCACTGACAGGTTGTTCCAAAACTTTAACTCTGTAAGTGGCCTCCCTATGAAAGTAGTACCAGTAAAGATCTCTGTAAACATGGAAGAGATTGTTAAGATAACTCCAGCATCACCAAAAATAAAGGATTGAAATGAGTCAGTCTGAAGTAAAAACTAATTCAAGGGACAAAACAAGATTTCTTTAAAAACAGCCGGCGTCTGTCAGAGTTGATACCAGGATAACCAAGTGCTCACTGTGGAATTCAAGGCTCACATCACATCTGTTCACAAGCTGTTAAATTTCGCACTTGTACTGTGCAAAAAGTTTTACAGAACAACTATGTGATCAGTTGCATCCGGTTACAGTTGATGATTGCTAACAGCGTTTTCCACATTTCATTAGAAGACAGCATAATCCAGTTACAACCAGCTTTAGTAATTGTTTGCATGGACCAGTGATATCTAGAACTCATTGAATTAGTTAAATGTAAGAAGACCACATTAAATTTAAGAAGAGGACACCAGTGCCATAATCATCTCGCCTATATTCCATGGAAATTGAGTGCACTGCTCCTGTTATTGACAGTGATTTGAAATAAATGTTTTTTTTAATGTATTAATGTATTAGTCATCAGTCTTGCTGAAGGTAATATTGATAGCATGCGTTCAGTCCCAATATGCAACACAGTCTGTAACAAAAACGGAACAAAAGCCGAGAACACTTACAGTTTTGAGGAGATTAACTTTGCGAGCGGGGGAGTGATGGTCACACACGGCTGACCTGGCCGGGGTCCATCTTCAAAAGCCCCAGAAGCACTCCCAACGCTCCCGCAGAAGCACGGCTGTGGAAGGATTGGCATTCGCTCGCATGGCCACATTTCTCCTGCTCGGCTCTGGCAGGCCGATGGTTCCGGGGCCTCAGTGGTTCATTCGGCCGTGACTTTGTGAAGGCACACGAGAAAGATATTAATGCCGTGGCCCCTTTTCGGTCCTAGAGTCCTAGTCAGAATGTTTGCCCCTTTCACCTGCTCTATGAGCAATCCGTGTCTTCACAGCGTGATGCAAAACACGTTCTCGGGAAAAGACGGAAGCTGGCCTGAGAAGTTGTGTGTTTTAATGCGATACGAAATTGATAGCGTGAGTCTTAAGTGCGAGAATATGTAGTTTCATTTGTATTCATTAGTACGTCTGTGTATCTGAGAGCAAGATGTCTCTAGAAAACATTACCAATGAGTTTGCTACGCTGCCCGACCTCAAGCCAAAGAAAAGTCAATTAGATTTTTGGTAGCGATCCAGATCTGGGAGTTACACCATTAAACAATTATTGATCAGTGCAGTAGCTGTGAAACTAATGGAGATAGAGGTTGCATTCTAATTTCTAAGGGACTGTTGGTAAAGTCAAGAAATCAATATAATGTCAAATTGAAGCCATGTGAATGATGTGTTTGGGTGGAATGGTAATGAGTGCAGTGTGTAGTTTTAAGCTTGTTGAGTACCATTTGCTTTGCAAGAGTTCTATTATTAGTTTTAATAGTTTTCAATGTAAATGTCTTTTTACATAATGAAACAGAAAGTAGTTTAGAGATATTATTTTTTCTGGATCTCTTATTCACTCTACATGTGTGTTATTCTGACAGCATGACATCCAATCAAACTCGTGCCCTTGATGTAGGAACAGCTCGGGCAGAACTGGAGCCCAAAGACACTACTGACCCCGTTCAACTCCATGCTTTCTGAAAATGATTTCCCCTTATTCCAGTTCAGCTGACGGACGGCCTACAGAGATGTATATGTAGGCCGCTGTTGCCCAGAGGGAGTCTGCTACTGAGAGAATCTACACTCTTGCTTAGAGTTTGACTGTGATTAGTCACCATTCATTCACTCATTCATTCATTGTCTTTGGAGGCATTTGTGTTGGCTGACTACTGTACAAAGAAGAGATGTTGAAAAAATCTCATTGAACAATCAAATAGAGACATGAGTGAAATTATTAATTGTTGATGACATCAGAAAGTTTCATTCAGACACCAGAAACTCAACATCTACAGGCATTGATATACAATACAAGATAAAACATTGTAAAGCAACACAAAAATGGCTTTACAAACCACCCTAGTAAGTGGTATGATGAGTGGATGGATAAAAAAAAATCACTGCAATGCAGATAAATTGTCCTCAAAGTATTTAATATGGATGTTTTTTATTTTAGAGGTGCAAAACTGTCACGGATGACCAAGTCTATGTACATGTTCTAATATTTGAGTTGCTTTACAGTGTTTTATCTTTGCATACATGGGTTTATCGTAGCTTTTTCCCTCGTTTCAAAACTATGCAAGCCAGTTAAATAGGTTTTTTAAATGTTGCCTGTATGTTTCAGCATGCATGGTTGTTATCCTTGTTATGTCCCTCGCTCTCCTGGTCAATATTTTGTTTGGCAGAGTAGATAAACTGGGTTTTTGGAGCTTTGATGGATTAAGTTACTCAGTCAGTGGGGTAGCTGTGCAGGATAATGTTAAAATGCAGTAAATCCACAGCTAAAAGATTTCTACTTTTGCTGTTTTATCCTAACACCACAAATCCTTGAATCTCATATCTCTGATTACAGAGCCCCCCCCGCTGCACATTTCATTTGCAGTGAAAAGAAATAACTCCGGGTGATGAAATGGAGGGAGGCCCTGATCTCTCTGGTTTAGACTCTGAAAGTGCTCGGGTTTACTTTTACTGAGGAGAAATTGTTCAGTGACAGATGTGAGAAAGTACGGGGTGGTCTATGCTCTTCCCCTATGGCTTTGTTGTAAACAAAAAACATTCCCATCATTAAGAAAAAAGCACTTTAAGATTGAAGCAGTTTTTTAATTGATACTTTTAGTCTTATGAAAAGCGTCTTACCACACATGAAAGCAAAGTTGAAATCCATCAATACGAATCTAAGTGCAGTCGTTTCAATCCCCGTGGCATTTAGAACATTTACTTTCAACATTTCTGTCTGGAAACGATCTGCTGATTAATCATTCAAGACGTTCAGTTAAAGTAATGTTTTTCTAGAGCACTACTTATCCACCTTGTTTGCATGATTATATGGTGTTTTGATGTTATCGCACAATCAGCAACTAATGGTAAAGATTTCTGCTTTTATATCACTCAAATGTGACACTTACATTTTGATTGCTGTAGGGTTAGCAAGTTATGGACACTAAAACAAGAAAATTGAATAATCTAGTTGTGATGTGTTTTGATCATGACTGATGGCACGACTCCTCTTGCTCATGACTCATCTGTACTTTAAGTCACATAAATTTCCATGTTTTTTAGGTTTTGTAAATATTTCAGTGTTCCATCAAAATTCCCAGAATGCATATAGATACGCATTAACTTTTCTGACTGCGCTAAAATGTGGCCCTTTAATTGACGATTTTCTTGCTTTCTTGAATTTTTAAAATTGACCCGATTTGACCGGAATTGACCAGATTTGACCATAAAATTCAGCTTTATTTTTGAATGCGTAAATCACTGAGCTGACCTACAGACGTTACTCACCGATGGGATCTATATTAATTAGTCAAAGTGAAGAAAACCGATACCGATAGTGTCAATATTGAGTCCCGTTAACCTTCTCAAATCCTGACAGCTCCCGCACTGCTCCAGCCTGAAAAAATTATACCGGTCTTATGTAGATGCATGGTGACTCTGGACCAGTGCAGATGAAATGGCTTGGTTTGAAATGAGCAGAAAAAGATATGGCTGGGTGAGATCAGAGCTGTGATTAAAGGAGGGATTCTTCTTCGACACCACACTGTAACAAACAGTTTAAAGGACCCTGATGATACAAGAGACCTTATGTATGTCTTGTGTTACCTTTGAACCTACATCTTCTCGTCTTAATTAAAACTTTTTAACTTTTTAAATTGACTAGAGAGTAGAGAAGACCCAGCCTTCAATTTTTTCTCAGACTGTTTACTTTGATCACAGCATGCATTCTGGACTCGTGACTCTCAATCCCGTGAAACTATGCTCCCTAAATCTCTCCTTCACAGCTGGATAAAAACTGACATCTTGGAATATGACTATGAAAAAGAATCTATTGATGAAGAAATCTTGCTCATTCAGTACGCTCAGATGGTCTGATTAACCATTTTTCGAGGGGAATAAGTTAACCAACCAGAGGTTAGCCAACCTCTGATCACTTTCTGAAAATCAAGATTCATTAGACCATATTGATTTCGATGGTTAACGCCCCAGTAGCTTTACTACTACTACTCTGTAGTAAATTAATGTATAGTCTTTTGTGTTCCAAACATAGTATTATGTGACACAGACTTTTAAGATGAATAATAAGTTATTTCACAAATTAAAACGTAAAAATATGAAGAGTTGTTCTCTTTCTTTTCAATACAGAATGTGGAGCAAACACTATACCCTATGCTCAACTTAGCTCAAGTTAAAGGTTTTATATTATATCGTCAGGTTTTCTATTGTAAATATATTAGGTATTTTTATAAATAGTAAGGGCCAGATCTATGTTGTCTTTTAAAAGAAGAACAATTTCTCCTGGATGATATTTATTCGTTCATTGGTCATTCTACTTTATGAGTAGGAAAGCATCCTAATAAGACCATGGTTATGAACTGCTAAAATAAGGTAACGTCTGTTAATATGGTCTATGTCACTAATTATAAGTAGACCACGAGCAGAAATGAATAATCCCTACTGAAGCAGCCCAAATCAGTGATTGGCAGAAAGGTGACTTTGAGATTTCTTTAGGGATCCTGATGTTTCAGTATGGAGCACTGTGTTCATATACTGTACCATTGTTAAACAGATTTTTTATCAACCCATTGTCTATACTGCTTAAGCCCAGGAGGGGCATATTTAGACATGTAATATAAAACTGAGAGTCAATGTCAATGATAGAAAAAAACCCCCAAAGAGGAATGAACAAAAACCTGTAAAGTGTAAAACTGAAAGGTTTAAAAAGTAAAAAAGCATTTTTGGTGGAAAGAATGTCAAACAAACTACTTGGCATGGTAAATAATGTACTCTCTACACAATATACTGGTCCAACTAAAGTTTTATCAGAGACTGACAACAATGCTTTATATATATGGTGACTCTATGCTGGTACAGAGACTTTTATCAGATCTACTATTCATA